AAGCCAACCTTCCTTTTTAGATTTTGTCATATCAGTGTTTTTGCAATTCTCAATGCATTTCCTACCGGTATGTAAAATGTTAATAAAAGGGACTTACATAATTTTTCATCATAATATTTCTCCAAAACCCACTTATTTCATTTAGTTTTTGTATTATATACATTACTGTATCTTCATTTTCTATGACTTATAGATATTTTGACTGAAAATGTATATATAAGGCATGGACATACCAGCACCGATCTTTTTTTTTTTTTGGAGTTACTTCCCTTAACAGCTATAATTACATATTATTCATAATGGTCAAGAGAGTCAGACTGGTTGATTGATTCTATCATTTAATTGACTAAATTGATTGAAACACATTGTTATATAAATATTGGCATGGATTTATTTCAATTTTTATTCGTCTGTCTACCTTTCAGCATATATAACATCTTTGCTCTTCCCAGCATACTGAGCACAACTATGGTAAATGACGACCTGTTGGTTCTTTGTCCCCTAAATACAATGTATAAAAAAGCCATTACTACTTTTCTTTCTTGCTGTATAGATGATTCTACCCATTGAAGGAAGTACATGTGCTTTTGTTTACCTCTGTAAACATTGGCTTTAATTGGTTTTCACCGTTTAGAGAATTCTACACGGGAGATCACTCTCAATCACTATTTCATAAGTAAAAAAAACCATGTATTAAACCTTTTTTCTCCGGAAAACCTTGACTTGCCAATGTCCTTAAAGTGACTACTCTGCATCGCCCGATACTAGAATCGTCTGATTAAGTTTTTCAGCAGACGATACGATAATAATTTGGTCGCACGACCATCGGCTTAAATCATTTTATAAATGTGACGTAAGTATTACTCGAGGTTATTGATGCATAAAACTCTATATTTAGATATGAACAAACGTGTTTATCCTCTAACTGTTTGAAAAGAAAACTCTGCAATCTGTAATAAGTATAAATAGAATAATTAAATCCTGATCTTCCTACTCAATTTGAATCCTCTTACCAAATATTATTAGATACGTTTCCATAGTAACGATATTCTTTTTATTTATCTATTTATTTTCATGAGGAATAATTGTTACATTGTAATGCTTTCTGTAGTGATTATTTGAGAGTCGTACATGTATCCCCGAAATCTGTGACGAGTGCCAAATCTTTCAATACAGCGGTTACAGAGAATGAATCCCATACTGACAAAATTGCTGGCTATGTGCTAGGAATCGTTGCTATGGGTTAAATGAGTACAAAAATATTTTCCTAAAACAAACACGACAATGTCAATTTTTCTCAAACACATTTTTGTGACTTGATTTAGATAGATTTTACAGGTTTACATGAATATGTGTCAAAATTAAGTTTCTTTGCCTCGTTGCTATGGAGAAGTGTTGTTGTTGCTATGGAAATAAGTCAATGTTCGATATTCAATAATTTGCTACAACATTTTATATTCTTTCCACACTCTCAGCATATACAATTATCAGCACATTACTTGAATATTCAATTCCATGACAAACAATACGATCCCATAGTGCACATTGGTTGTCATGTACTGGGAATCGTTGCTATGGGTTGATTAAGTACCACAAAAACTTTAATAAGACCAACATTTCATTGTCAATTTTGCTCAACGACATTTTTCTGACTTAATTTGAATAAATTTTTAATAAGATTACATGAATACATGTCAAAATTGACTTTCTTTGCCCGTTGCTATGGAGAACCTGTTGTTGCTATGGAGATAAATAATTATACAATATTCAATAATTTGCTAGGAAGTCCTTTAATTCTACTATTTTAAAATATGTTTTTCGTTTTTGTAGATAACAATTCATTTGATTTTTCCGTAAACTTTTTACATTGTTTCTCATTTTATGTATCAAAATGCCCATATTTGTTGCTAGGCAACAAATTCAATTTTCAAAAAGGCCCGTGGATTTGACTTCAAATTCTGAAAGAGAAATTCATCTGCTTTTATGTGAAATAAACGCAACAGCTGTATTAATCTGGCCTTTTTTTAAATTTGGCCTTGAATATTGCCAAAATCACTAAAAATGCTGAATCAGCAGAAATTGCAAAACATGTGTACCTTCCAATGGCTAGCACTGAACTAACTTAAGACCTAAATTTCTTTCATTGCATTATTAAAACACTTTAAATGTGTATCTTTATTACACCAGTAATTGAGAATAATTTTCATGGTATTAAAATTTTATTTTAAGCCTTAAAGATAGGTGAATTTTTGTCCATCAACATGGAAAAAATTGCCGGTTGCTAAGGAAATTTCTTTGGCCGGGTTTCCATGGTAACCATGACTCAAAACATTTTTCATTTTACATACATTGTTCATATTGCAAGAGAAATTTATGAGTGAAAAATCATCGAATTCTGAAAACCTTCATGTATCACTTTCATACAATTTTGTCTGAATTTTATGTGGACTGGTACTTAATAACAAGGAAAAAAATTATGACCTTGATACGACCTTGTCTTTTTAATGAAACTGTCAAATATAATGTAATTGATTTCATCACTTGTTGATATTGTCTTCTTGATCAAGACATATTGTCTTGACAAAGCAAGTACCAACATTGTCTTTGTTTGTAAGGCTCATTATATTAAATGTATTTTAGAGGAACTTGGATTTAATTCTACAAGTGGTAATCCAACTTATACTCATAGTTCCCTTTCTAAGGAAGAAATTCTTCAAAATCATATGTCAGTTTTGAATATTTTTAATATTCCAAACAACCAAAATGAATTCGAATTACCATATTTATATTGGATTCCGAAACTTCATAAAAATCTTTACAAACAAAGATACATAGCGGGTTCCAGTAAATGTTCAACCAAGCCTCTATCTTTACTCCTCACTAAGATATTAACAGTGGTGAAGGAGAAACTTCAAGAGTACTGTGCAACAATATATTCGAGAAGTGATGTAAATCAGATGTGGATACTTAAAAATTCCAAGGAACTTTTGGAAAATTTGAAATCACAAGATTTTTCCAAAATCAACAGCTTAAAAACTTACGACTTTTCAACTTTATACACAACCATTCCCCACGATAAATTAAAGTCCAGGCTTTTTGATATCATTGACAGCTGCTTTTTCAATAAAAATGGAACTTGTAAATATACTTACCTTGTCATTGGTCATTTGCAAAATTATTTTGTTAAAAAACATTCTGATTGTACACACAAGTACTCTGAAGTTGACATTAAAAAGATGCTTGAGTTTCTGATTGACAATATCTATGTGGTTTTTGGAGACCAGGTCTTCCAACAATCTATTGGAATTGCTATGGGTACCAATTGCTCCCTGTTATTAGCAGACCTTTTTTTTGTATTCATATGAAGCAGAATTTGTCCAAAATCTTGTTTGTGAAAAGAAGAAAACACTTGCTGTGGCGTTCAACTCGACATTTAGATATATCGACGACGTATTGTCAATTAACAATGGCTATTTTCATTCTTATGTCGATACGATATATCCTGGTGAACTTGAGATAAAAGATACCACAGAGTCTGACACATCTGTTTCATATTTGGATATTTTACTTGAAAAAGACGTTAATGGTAATCTAACAACCAAGCTTTATGATAAACGTGATGACTTTAACTTTTCAATCGTCAACTTCCCTTACTTATGCAGCAATATACCTTCATCACCTGCATACGGGGTATATATCTCTCAGTTGATTCGATACGCAAGAGCATGCTCTACGTATGTACAATTTCTAAAACGAGGTAAATTATTGACAAATAAGTTGATGAAACAAGAATATCAGCTATCTCGTTTAAAGTCATCATTTCGTAAGTTCTATGGTCGATACAATGACCTTGTCAGCAAATACAATTTATCATTGAGTCAAATGCTGACTAACGTTTTTCATACTAATTGTTAGGCCATTATTTACACACTGAATTGTCGACGGATTTTTCCGTTATTTCCCGATCATGACAAGGAGCACACGGCGGGTGTGACCGGTCGGCAGGGGATGCTCACTCCTCCATGGCACCTGATCCCACTTCTGATGTTTGGAGGTCCGTGTTTGCTCTGTTCCTATTTTGTATTGTATAATGGAGTTTTGAGCTTGAATACTGTTCGTTATCTCCATACATTTCATTGAATCTGTGAAAATTTCATTAATTTTTAAATATGATAAACACAAGAAGAATCCCTCCTTAAAGCTTTGGACTCTTATTATTAGCGTCCCTTTTCAACAAGTATTTCTTTATGATAGGTTTAATGCAAAGATTAACACTTTTCCCATCTATGCGTCTATTCCTAGGAAATATTGACTTGACATTAAGTGTCTGTTTTCATTTTAAATACGATACAGCAGCATAAATTTAGATTAAAAATCATGCTAAAACACTTTGTGTTTTTCTTTCTTTATCTAACATTAAAAGTTGACAATAAGATATTTTGCTCAGTTTATCATTATTCAAACGCTTTTTCATTCTATACAGAAATATAGAAATTAAACGTTTTATTTTCCATTGATATGTAGTACTTTTTAAAATGTTTTTTGATAGGAATACATCTTTAAAACAGTGGTCATTAAATGTTTCTTATTTGTTTAGTATGATTTCTCTTATATTGCATGCATCTTTTACATTTCAAGGCGTTCAACTCGTGATATATAAAAAGATACTGCTGACTTACTGCTTGTATCTTGATGGCAGAGATGGCCTGTCAATTATAACAATATCCCAAAATAGGGATATCTATACTGATAAAGATTTCTATATTTATTATGACATACGAATGAAGTTAAATTAACTTCATCTGCTGATAAAAGGCTCACAATGATAAAAAGATAAGAATAGTATCGATTATAACCTTTACCTTTGAAATAAATATCTAATAGATTAAATATCGTACGCTCTCTCTATTTCATTCTGGACTGAACCGTCCGTTCGTGAAAGGACACAACTTAACCACCACTTTGATATTTTCGATTTTTAGTCTTTGTTGTTTACTTACGCCTCGGTGTTGTTTTCTTTAATAAAGCTTAGAATGCTGGTAAAATCAGGCCTCAGTCGCCAATCGTCATCCCAGCACATCTTCATTAATTTCAACATCTGAGGTTTAATGGCCTCTGTCTTGATGATTTCAGGTTTATACGACTGGCCACTGTGTATGCCCTTTATTATGTCTATAATTCAAATAGCAGGACTGCGTCAAATTCGCTCTAATCATAAACATTTAAGTTGGTTTCATTTGCATGACCATTAAAGAGATAAAACGAATAGTAAGAAAAGTAATGAAGACAATTTTCAAGATATATTAAGACATCCTCTACGATCAAACCATTTGAGAGACTAAAGGATGTGAAGATAAATAATAAATGTACTTGTGTATGTTTTAACAAAACTATGTTATATTAAAACCATAATTTTATAGGTATGGCAAGTACTACAGAGACAGATGAAGAAATGTTAAGTCAGAAAAATATCCAACCTTTACCTGCCTACCAATCCTTTACCATCGAATTTGTGTAACGCTGCTTCTATCTTAATACAGAAGAACTTACAAGAATGAAAAATGGTGATCGATCTTAAAAAAAATATATACTTTTTTTTCGTTTCCTTTAATCTTACTAGGAAATATATGAAAAGAACGAAAAGATTAAAAATAGAAAGCCAATTAAATCAGCATTCGTAACTATTTTCTTTATGGAAGAAACTATCCCACAAAAGCAGAAATTTTATACATTCATTGTATTTCTATGAAAATTAAGAGGTACATGTATTAGCAAATACAGTTTGTTAATAGTTTTGAGCTTTTTACTGTTGAAATAACTTTCAGGGAATTCATAAATATTTGAGATTTAAGGTGAAGTACCTTTTGCTGTTTTTCCTGAAATAGGAAATGGTCCGTTTCGGTAAAACGTTTCGTGCATGATGATTCCATAACTGTATACATCACCAGCCCGTGTGCCATTTCTGGGAGCTATGTCGCCAGACCTCAATATTTCCGGAGATGTCCATAATAAATCTGTAACCCAACAATTCTCAATAATCAGTCAACAGATCTATGGAACGCCATAGTGGCCTTATGTGATGGGTCTTCATTATGATGAGGAGATTTTTGCATTACAAATACACTGTGGGTATTTCATTCTGATGAGTTAGTTTTGCATACTGCGCTATAGGCATTTCATTGTAATGAGGTGGATTGCATAATAGGCTGTGGGTACTTAATTATGATGTGGTTTTTTTGCATGATTTTTGTCTTGATTTTTTTCAATATGATGAGGCGCATTTACATCATATTTCATTATGATACAGTGATTTTGCGTAATATGTTGTGGGTGCTTCATTAAGATGTGGTGGTTTGCTTTATATGATGTAATTTTTTCATTATAAAAGGTGCATTTACATTATATATGTTGGTATTTCGTTATGATTAGATGGTTTTACATTTTATGCTGTGGTTACTTCATTATGATGAGCTGCTTTTGCATAATATGCTGTGGGTATTTCATTATTATGAGATGGGTTTGTATTAAATGCTATGGATACTTCATTATGATGAGGTGATTTTTCAATATACACTTGTATCTGTCGGTATTTAAATCTGATAAGGTGCTTTTACAATATATACAGGGGGTACTTTATAATGATGAGGTGCTTTTACATTACATTCACTTATCTCATCATAATGCAGTACCCACAGCATATAGTGCAAAAGCACCTAAACATGATTATACAACTCATCTCATAAGGCAGCTAAGGCATTCCATAGGTCTCTATGTGTTTTTCCTTATCAATAAGGTTTAATTAGATAATTGATCTACCATTACGATCTCGTATTATTAAAATTTATAAATATATGTGTCTCTGACAAAACTATTTATCTGCAGGTAATTTATATATATATATATATATATATATATATATATATATATATATATATATATATATATATATATATATATATATATATCGGACCTTTAAATTTTTCCATTTTCTTAATATTTTCCAGTTGTTCATGCTCGTAGAAAGCTGATACGCCGTAATCTGTGACCTTCACAGTCCATCTGTTGTCGATGATACAATTAGAACTTTTAAGTCGCCCGTGGGATTTCAGGACGGATGAGTGGAGATACTTCATTCCCTTAATTAAGAAGAACTTCATTTTGTAAGACTGGATATGAATAATCCTTATGATAATCCGTCCTTCATATTAGATTGTGACCTTGACCTCGTTCAAATGATTATCAGTGGGTATTAAACAGCATTCCATCGTGTTTTACATCTTGACCTTTGAGTCGCCATTATGATAGAATCACAAAAACACATTTATTATGAATAGCAACATACTGACTACTTTTTTTTAAATTCTGGTAAAAGAAAAAAAACCTAATGACATGTAGCACTGACACGAAAAGCTAAAAGAACGGAAATACATTTCTCTCAATCCAACTTCCTACAGAAAAGGGAGATAGGCACATTATATGAAAACTGTTACCTTTTACAAATGTTTTATTCATTAATCTCACCATGGCAATGTCTTTCAATATTCCAACTTTGAAAGCCCATTCTAATCTGATATCATCATTTTCCAAGACATCCTAGAATAAGCAAAATTTGAAACAAATTAGATCATTACTATCTGAAACAAACAATTGTTAATTCACACCACAAGCTTCATTTATTGTATTAGGTAAGTGGCCTATATTATATAGCCTATAAACAAGACATATTTTATATATTTTACATACATGTACCAAATCAGTTAGTGTCTGAATTCAGTAAAATAGTTTTAAGCTTCACAATGCCCTTAAGAACATGGTTAAAGTTTAATATCCATTAACATGTTGCAAAGTTAAAGTACTTTTGTTTTGGATTTTCCTAATTAATTAGAATGCTGAATTCAATGACTTCTCCACCAGCAGTTTTATGATTTAATTTCCGATTACATTCAGTGTCTTATTAAAATAACAATGGAACCGGAATTACAGAGAATTAATCTGAGAACCTGTGTACCTGAAGACTTCCCTTGGTGCCATACAGAAACAGGCAGCAGATATTGGGAGGATCGATACAAGCGCCGATAAAAGGATTCACATTGGAATGCAAAAAATCCCGCATCTGAAAGCAACAAATGATATGCATCCTGTACATCCTCTAGCATCGTCTAGCGTTGCCGGGTATTTTCAAAAATAAACAATAAAAAAAAGAAAGCATTAACCTTTTAGGAAAAAACAAAAAATCCTTGTCTGTGAAGGTATATATATATATATAGAGAGAGAGAGAGAGAGAGAGAGAGAGGATATTCAATGTTTTGTAGATGAATATGGAATTTATTTCACGAGTGGGACAGGATTTTTTGATATTTTCACGAGTGCGAAGCACGAGTGAAAATATCAAAAAATCCTGTCTCACGACAAAACATTGAATTTTCTGTTTATTACATTTTCTTTGATTTTCCCTTTGCCTCTGTCTTTTCTTAACACAGTGTCATAGGCTTGACGTCATAGTTGAACGGTTGAGACGTCATAGCTTAGAAGTTGTGTGATTGAAAACATTACATAGCAAGGATTTTAGCAACATATTTGGGAAGAAATTTGCAGTTTTAGCTCTATCAAGATGCTTACTTACTTATGACAGGCCAGAAATTATTTTTTACTTACTTTGATATCCTTTCACATTGTGAGAGAATATCATTTTTGGTATCCATCCTTTCACACTGTGAGAGAATATCACTTTTATTCAATAAATAAATCACAGTATTTCACTGTTGAAAATGTAATATATATATATATATATATATATATATATATATATATATATATATATATATATATATATATATATATATATATATATATATATATATATATATATATATATATATTCAGTTATATTTTGTAGAGTAAATTGTACATATTTTTGTGGAATGTATGGTCGCTCCATGACCCAAAGGTCCTGCAGTGATCATATAGAGACCTTGAGTCAACTGAATGGTCACTGATAATAAATGACAAGTATAATTTTTTTTTTTCTAGTTTTTGATTTATATTTCAGTTCTTTCTTTCTGAAAAATCATTGGAGACATGCACACTTGAGCAAAGCTTCAATTCAATAATTTCTTTAGTTTATAAATGATAAGATGTTGATACCTTTTGAAGCAATTAAAAGCGTTTTATCATTAAACTTTAATTATTAGAAATAAATGGATAAAAAAGTCTTTCTGTATTCCAGTAATCGAATCAGGACAGATATTACCATGTATTCACCTTCTGTTATTCATCAAGGAGGTTTACGATGGGTTTACAAGTTTAATTTTCTATCTTTATTCCGTAGGTTTCTTGATCATTCCACACCAATATATTCAGGAAAAGAACAATTAACTGCAACGGATATTAGGAGTCTTTTTTATGTTTATAGTCATAAATACCCGAGATAAATAACCACCTTAAGGAGCGTTGTACACGACTTCTAATGAATCACATGCATTTATAACTAATTGAATATAATAATTTCTTTTTAATCATAGGACTCGTTCACTTTGATAAGACATTTAAACGTATAAATCTATTCTACCAAAAGGAATGTCCATGGAAAAAAAATCAATTTTGATCAAATAGAATGTAAGAAAAAATTGTATATACCGGAGCTGGAAAAATGCATTCCCAATATTGATGTTCAATCTCTCATGGGAATCTCTAAATTTAATTTACGTTGGGCACAAAGCAAGAATTATTTTTGTAATTAATTCATTCATCAATTTGTTATTGTTAGATTAAATAATGAGAAAATATGTACATAAGCATGTAGCCGACTTTTTATGATTTACGAAACAAAAAAGAACTCATTCTCAGGAGTGGGCTTAAAAATGTTTACAATTGATCCATCCATTTTGACATGTATACACATGTACCTTTTAGCTTAGTATCACACTAGGAAATACAATTACCTTGGAGTTATGAAATTAATAAATAGACCAGTAATGACTAAAAATTCTATCTGTATTTTAATCTTAAATAAAAATCACGTTAAAGTTGTTTAAAAACTTTAGAAAATTTTAATTTGTTAATAGATAGTTATAAAAACGTTACCTAAAATATCTCAAACAGGTTTTTCAGTGACCATCGAAAAGTATTAAACAGTCACTGAAAGAATTTTTAAAAAAAAAAAAAAGAGATAGGTTTTGGGCTTATCAGGCAGTGAGCATTTAGTGACTGAATGGTCACTGAATACTGCCTTCCAATGTCAACTTCAAGGTCTCTTTGGTGACTACATTTACCACATACCGCTCTTAGTTCCACCAGGTCCGTCATATTGAGCTGAACTGTAGACAGAGGGCTACTTTTGATTGCTACAGTCTGACCTTTATACTCGGCTGTCTTGGTAAAGTTAAGGTTGCTTGTACCATTACTACTGGCTTCACAGTCAATCATTGAAAAGGTACTCTTACTGAGCTAAACAAATAATAATGGACTCCGAGTTATACAAGGTATGGAACAGAAACTTATACTATCTTACAAAAATTACGAGATATACTATATCTGTGAGATATCTAATTCAATATAATTCAATGTGTTTTCTATATATTTCTTACATATATTTCTATATGCTTCTTACATATATTTCTATATGCTTCTTAATATAATTTTTATTAAAAATCTTCTCAATGGTAAAGTGAATAGACCTCTGTCCCTTCCTTCGTTGCACATTAAATCAATTGTTCCAAAGGGCATGGATGAAAATAACAATATCAAATTTTACTTTAACTTCACATGTCTAGGTGACAGGTGTTTGCTGGCAGTCTCTAGTTAGCATTATATCGCCATGGAGATCCGGAATATGTGAAGTGAAATTTGTTATGTATTGGAAAGATTGCCGGTTACAATATCTTCACACTATGAAATTCTTTCTAGGACTATCATTTACCTTGCTTCACATTTATCTGGTTACTGATATGTAACGTTAATATTTTATTTCACCACTGATTCCTAACTATCATTTACCTGATTACCGATTCCTAACTATCATTTACCTGCTACCGATTCCTAACTATCATTTACCTGACTACCGATTCCTAACTATCATTTACCTGACTACCGATTCCTAACTATCATTTACCTGATTACCGATTCCTAACACTATCATTTACCTGACTACCGATTCCTAACTATCATTTACCTGATTACCGATTCCTAACTATCATTTACCTGATTACCGATTCCTAACACTATCATTTACCTGACTACCGATTCCTAACTATCATTTACCTGATTACCGATTCCTAACTATCATTTACCTGATTACCGATTCCTAACACTATCATTTACCTGACTACCGATTCCTAACACTATCATTTACCTGACTACCGATTCCTAACACTATCATTTACCTGATTACCGATTCCTAACTATCATTTACCTGATTACTGATTCCTAACTATCATTTACCTGACTACCGATTCCTAACACTATCATTTACCTGACTACCGATCCCTAACTATCATTTACCTGACTACCGATTCCTAACTATCATTTACCTGATTACCGATTCCTAACACTATCATTTACCTGACTACCGATTCCTAACTATCATTTACCTGACTACCGATTCCTAACTATCATTTACCTGATTACCGATTCCTAACACTATCATTTACCTGACTACCGATTCCTAACTATCATTTACCTGATTACCGATTCTATACACTATCATTTACCTGATTACCGATTCCTAACACTATCATTTACCTGGCTACCGATTCCTAACTATCATTTACCTGGCTACCGATTCCTAACTATCATTTACCTGATTACCGATTCCTAACACTATCATTTACCTGACTACCGATTCCTAACTATCATTTACCTGACTACCGATTCCGCGCTTGTTTCCCTTTCTGCTAATGTCGTTGATATCAATTTTCCAAGTCATCTTTATTATTTGCAGGTCATATTTTCTCTTCCTGTAATTGAGAGTTGAGGAGAATGAACATTAATCGAGCTCAAAAACCAAACTAAAAATATAAATTGGGAATAGAGCAAAAATGGGCCCCTGGAAAAGCCAGAGATGGAATCAGATGTCATGGATGTGTTTGTATCCCCTGTAAACCGGCCATACCCGCATGTAGCCCTTTGTCTCGATAGGGCAAATGGAGAAAACCGTAGACAATTCAGTTTGAAAATAATGACTTGACAATTTAATTTAAAAAACACAAGTCAACATTTGATCAAAGGAAAAGTTGTATTTACATAGAATTTGTGAAATGCTAATTTTAAACGCGATGGTAAATATAATTTAATTGAACAGTAAGCAATCTCAAAATCTACATATAATACAAATCTGTTAACAGGGCATAAAACAAAGATCCCATTGATAATTCCAGAGGTGTGATCAGGTGCCTATGATCATAGGAGTAGGCATCTCCTGTTGACCTGTCATACCCATCTATTGATCAAGTAGACAGAATATTCCGTAGTCAAATTTAACATAGAAAAAAATGGCTAACATTTGGTATGAAACACTTCAGCTAAGGTTATATGTGCTAAAAGGTCATTATAACGACCATAGAATTCAGGAAATGATGACTGTGAACGAGGTTGTTGAAATCCCTGTGACATCAATTAGCCAACTTTGAGGAAGAACTGAAGTGTTAAACTGAAGTTTTATTTACTGTTTTTAGATTTAATATATAAGGAAAAGTATAAAAACGAGAGGAAAGAATGACATGATCAAGTTTTTTAAGAATAAATAATAAATAAAAATAAATAAATAAATAAAAACAGAACCCAAAGGGCATTGTCTTTATTATCCAACATTTCTTGAAACGAAATGAAATCAAAACAATCAGAAAATTTCATTACTTTAACACTGTTACCCGAATAAAAAGGTAAAATTGTGACGTTAGACAGGATAAAATGCGTCATGAAGGTGTATGTGATATTTTAAGAAACATGAGATTTTCTTCGTCTGTTATAATGTGGACACATGAACTTAAATGCTTTGATTCACACTTAAATGAAATATCTCACCTGATATAAAATCCCGATATAATAATGGCGATGAGAAAAACGACGACAACAGACAGGGAGATTATAATTTCAGTGGTATGATCTGAAAAAATACTACAATTTAGATAAATGATACAAACGACTTAAGGTGTCTAGTTCTGTATCATATCTTACTGGATATGTTTCATACATTATATTTCCTTATATTCAAGCGCTATGTGATGTAGGTAAATTTTGCATGGTAGATGTATTGGTTGAGATTAAAGATCACAATATAATTCTTAAAAGTTCAATAAAATAAATGAAAAATAAGATGTGTTTGTGAAACACTGATACCCCCGTATGGCATCTCATGGGGAAGGTAAATTTTTTTCAAAGCAAATCAAACTCCAAGGAAGATTTAAAATAAGTATTGGTACTCAAAGAAAGGTATTATCACAAGAAATACGCATTGCGATATATGAAAGTTCTTGCAGCGAACATTCAGAAAATATGATCAAAGTTAAAGTTTTTCAAGAGTAGTTAAAATTCCAAATCAAGGTCATAATTACAAAAATAATGGTATTTAAGGAAACGTCTTGTTACAAGTAAAACACCTATGAAAAATGAAAAACCGAAGAACCAAGAGTTTAAAAATTATGACCAAGTTTAATTTTTATTTCAAAAGTAGGTCAAACTTTAAATCAAGGTCGAAAAGTCAAAACTGTTGGTAACTCCCAGAAGAATGTGAATTTATTTCTATAATTTGATTGACATCACACCCCTGTCAAGATATCCACTGTTTCACTCAACAGTTTTTTTTTATATATGCCATTAAGGTAGCTGAAGGCCCGGTTTACTCTCTGAAAGCATGCACTAAACCTTCATTCGTTTCAAAATTTTATATCTGAAATTTTCGTGAGATTTGTATGCATGAATTTCAATTTATATGATTAAAGGTATCACAATAAATATGGATACTAATACTTCATAGAAAAACGTGTATTCTAAATTTTAAAACTGCCAAAATGAATAATAATATAACTATTTGCAAAGAATTTTATAGCATTGCATTTTACATTGAAGAAAAGTATTTATTTTAGTATCACATTTCCCAACATAAAGAGAACATTTACTTTCAATGAATGTAAACAATAATTGTACAGACCTCACACAAGCTTTAAATGTAAAATTTTATATTGTTTTGGTGTATTTTTATAAGCTTTTTGTAGTCTGATACTGTTAATACGGAGAGATTTCTAGGTCCAATTCTACTGTGAAGTCAGAAAACCCTCCAGCTACCATAGAAAGATTAATTGTAGTCAGCAACTACCAAGTAATGTTATAAACAAAAAGATGGTATTTTATAAAACCTTTTTTTTTTCTCTTGAAGGCTGGGATGATATACGATATAAATACATGGAAATTAAAAATATATGCTAGGGAAAATGATTACCTTTGATTATAGGTGGACAGAACTCGTTAGAGAAACCACACGGTGGTGTACTTGGTGGTGCCTCCCCGTCTTTGGTCAACCACAAAGTAGACTTATCTTGCCAAATACTCACTATCTGTTGCATGATGGAAAAATAACGATGACTTATATATTAATTCTTAATTTTGGCTTTATAATGCATATCATTCTACATACATTCAAATTGCTACATAAACTAGAAGTTGATTAATTGGTTTGTGTTTTTAATGCCATTTTTGGACTTTTTACTAAATGTTGTACTACATACAATTAATTTACTACATACACTAAATGTTGATCAATTTGTTTGTGTTTTTGTAGCATTTTTTTTTCAATATTTCTCAATAATTCAAGCTAGGATATCATTTGATTTGTAGACAGAATAATTGTTACAAAGCTGATGCTTTCTTACTTCTGATCCTGTTTCTACGATGGCAAAAATCCTTGTTTCATCGCTCTTATTTTTCAGATCTTCGACCCAGAACACAGGCTGTTTATCTCCATTACCGTCAAAATGAATTTTACCACTGGTACCTTGAATACGTTAAAAAACATTTCTAGCCTAATTTCGCAAATAGAACTTTATAGATATTTGATCGTAAATGTTATTAAACAGTTTTCATTGCATCTTGCACTGGACTAAATAAAGGGTTTTATATATACTACTCTATAGATAAAATATGAAGATCACATAATCTTGAACAAAAGTAATTGTTTTAAGATATTTCTACGCTTACCATTATAAGTTAAGTTATGTGTAAATTTGAAAAGTCCAGCACCGTCTCTGTGATTTAGTCCTTTATTGTAACAATGTTCCCACCACAGAACGACCAGATACATAGAGTCATGTAATGTTGGAGCTGATGTGGAGGGCTACAACAAGAAAACCAATATGTACAGTGCAGGAAACTAATTTTGTTACAGCATCGATGCTGAATTGAATGCTTCCTTTGCTTGCTGATTTGAATGCTTCCTTTGCTTGCTGATTTAATGCTAGTAATCCTTTTGCTGATGCTGTTTTATAATTAGGTCAATGCTACCGGAAGTAGCATCATGCTACCGGAAGTAGATAATGAATTTCAGCATTGCCGTTTAAAGCAATAAAAGTCCCTTTTACAATTATTTGATCATAATATCTCACTATGTATCAATAATGTGAATACTTTAACCAATATTCTTTCTTTCTTTTTTAATTTTTTACTGAATTAAAACTCATTGATTTTCTGATGCTAGTAGGATAATGCTGATTTTATGTAGGTCAATTCTGGTTTTATCCTTTGCTTGCTGATGCTTATCCTGGTAATGCTGTTTTTTAAATGCTGATGCTGATGCTAGCTCGATCCTGATGCTACTAATGCTTATGCTGATGCTGGTTTATGTAACAAAATTAGTTCCCTGCACTGTATCAACAGAAGATACAGAGGAAGCAAATTCAGTTAGAGGGAGGGGGGTCATATTCAAGTATTTTGACAGGCAAAAACTACCATTTCTATTGTTAACTTTATACTGGCAAAATTATTAAGGACACCCCCTCCCCCGGTTCCTACTATTGCCTGGAGTTAACATAGTTTCTAAAGCCTTTTTTAAATACAGAAAGCTTGTATTTTTTCAATATAACAGAATTACTTTGAACACATGAACATGATATGTTATAAAAAATAGCTTTTATATAATTACGGATAAGCCTTCATCAAGTGCTGTAGAATCGTTCCAGGGGGGCTCGGTCATTCTCTGTGGGATCATCCTCATTAGTTCTAAGTGACGCTCCTTGCTGGCATCGTCAAACCATCTGGCTGCCGTCAACTGAAATCAGGTATGTGCTAGAAATTCGTGATTTATGAGATATGTACATATCAATAATATAGGTATGCACAAAAGTATTTTTTGTTTGAAAACTTTGAAAAATGACTAATTATGTCTGGAATTAAAAGTCTTTGTCTTAATGCTGAATAAAGAGTTGAGAAACTATTATCTTCCTTTCGGGCATTCATACCAAATCAAAATTACTTTTTAAAACTTGTTTTGTTTATAAATAAATGAGGAAAATTTTCAATCCTACATGAATGACATGACGAAATGCTTCACGTGATATGACGTCATCAGAGTCATTCTTGTACCATGCTCTGTACCGATATTGCTCGTCGTTTGATAAAAAGTTTGGATCGATGAAGACGTAATCTCCCGTTGTCATTCCATTGTAGTGAGCTCGTATCATTATTTTTCGGAAATTAGTATTCTCTGCACACATAAACACAACTAAAACAGTAAATTAAATAGAATGTTTCACGACTCAAACATAAATATTCTGTTATTAAGAATGATTCAAGGCTTTATTTTCATAATTTTGACAAGATTCCGTTTGAAATTATCAAATAATATTTGAATACTGTGAACAAAATTTAAAAACGTTACAATTACTCTTGGAAACAATTTGAGAAAAACACAGATTTAAAAAAATATTGGATGTCAATTTATCAGAACATTCATACTTCTCGCTGTTTTCCTTATAATGTTCAAATACTGATCTATCTGACTGTTCGTGGGATTTTCTGTGAAGCGTAGGTAGGAAGCCACGGTAATCTTATGATGTGCCACTCTGGTTAGAAAGCCATTCATCGCGTGCAAGCAAAGGTCTGTTAAAAGAAATGTATTTCAAACCAACATATTTAAGTGACTTTAAAAAGTTCGCAAGCCATTTTGATTTGGTGACGTTAAATTACAGAGAAAGAATTGGCAATGGCAAATCACATTAAATTTTGATCTATTCAACCGTTATAATACGCATCTATATCAATTATCATAATAGCATCAAAGATGAAGTTTTCAGTTACCGTAGGAAGTCTGTATGAGTATTGCAGTAACATTCCAGTTGAACTTAGTGAACAGTGCCGCTGTGGCAAGGCCAACCTTGTTAAAGGTCGCAGACAGGCGTATAAAGGTTTTAAATATGTCTTTTTTCTCAAACGTTGGATCGTTAGCTTCCCAGCTGATATGGGGAATGTTATAGTAAGGTGTCACGTAAGCGGGTCCAAGATTTCCTTTGTTGTTTAATAAAATAAAAAAAATGACCTGATTTTAATTTTATTGATCCATTTACAAAATTTAAAAAAAAAAGTTAATTTCAATTTCATTGTTGCAATTATTTTGAACTTTTCAAGGATAAAATATTTTTATGTAGTTTTCTTAATTGTGCTACATGAAGTAATGTCGATTTAAAGAAGATGACATTTCGAAATAAAACAATTACTCTTTGAAAACACCTGCAGACTGTCGCATTATTAATCTGGTTTTGAAAAGTTGCTCCTAGATTTGTAACACTTTTGTTAAGTTTCTGAATTTGTAGAATTATTATTATTATATTACTATTATTTTATTTTGATGTACTTAAACTTGTACTTTTTATATTGAAATCAAAAAATATATATTTAACATGACAAACTTTTTCAAAATTTAAAACCTGTAACGACAATGATCAGCTCTGATAGAGTCAACTTACGCACTATGTTTAGTTGAAATCAGCCCGAAACTAAAGGAGGAGTATCGTGTTTAAAAAAAGAAATACACCAAGTTCTATTTTAGTAACTATGTCACCATATTGTTTATCAAAAGATGAAAAAACTGAGATGCATACCTGTAAACTGCAATCTAGCTTATGTGTATTATAACCTTTATTTAATTTGAACCAAAATTATGGTTGATTGACGTTTCGAAGGAATATTTAATAAATTTTAATTTTTTGATATTTTAGCACAGTTATTCAAAATCTAGAACTAATGCAATATTTTAATTATATTAGTGTGGCATAGTTTCTTCGACCAAGAGAATAATAACGGTGTCTTACTCTTTGAGGAGGGATGACCCAAAAGTATGTCAATTTTGTCCTCTGTAATCATGTGTACAGTTTCACCTGCAGTCTGGGACATGTCATCAACAAACCGTGATGTCACACTGAAAAGTAGTATATTACTGAGTGAAAGCATATAAGTAGAACATTAATAAACGAAAACAAGAACATAGATGTAGTACATAATGTACATTATTGAATGAAAGCAAGAATAATTGAGACATAAAAGCAGTACATTATTGAATGGAAGTATGAGAAATCAGAACATAAAAGTAGAACATTGCTAATGAATACACCAATAGTTAGAATATAAAAGTAGAACATTACTTATGAATACACTAATAGTTAAAATATAAAAGTAGTACATTACCGAATGAAGTTACCAATAGTTAGAATATAAATGTTACGGAATGAGATAAAATTCGTTCGCACGAAATTAAATTCGTTCGCACGAAATTAAATTCGTTCGTGCGATTTTTTTTTCTTTTGCTTGTCAAGATCTATGCTACGTATTAGGGTAAGGTCTCAAGGATTGTGCCCCCCCCCCCCACATTTATAGGTCTCTGCCCCCTCCCCTACATTTCAGTTTATTACTATGCCCTCTTTTAGCATTAGAGGAACTACATGTAAGCACATGTTTATTATGAGCAGTTAGATAGGATCTTCATTCTTCATAATGGTACAAGCAAAAGATGAAGTACATGAATTAATAGAGCCCCTAGAGTCATCCTCAACATTTTCATTGATGTATAGATCATACATGTATACTGTAACTTATTTAGATTTGAACTGTTTATGTACGTGTTAACTTTGTGTATGTAACATAGAGTTTGATTTATATATGAAGTCTAGCTTGATGCTAAAATGGATCTAAGAAATTGTAAAGGAAAAAATATAATAATTTTAAATAAATATCAAGCCCCTGCTGTTTTATGGGACTTTGATCATGTGACCAAATTGTATTCATATCCCCATACACATCAAAAACTGATACTTTATTTCTGAACTGAACCAAAATTTGTCAATGTGTTATTTTAGAAATATAATATGTACGAGGGTTGTTCGGAAAGTTCGTGGACTTCTGTCATATCTTTTTTATTTAACGTCATATCATATCCAAATTTGGTAGAAATATTTTAACAATAAATTCACATGATTCGTATTAAAGGTTTTTAAAATATCTTGATTTATTTTAAACTTATTAGGAGTTAAAACTGCGAAAATTGGTTTGCGGAGCAAGTCAAAATTTAGTAATTTACAAACAATACACTAATTAATTACTTTAGTCATATTCTCTGTAAAAAGGCTCAAAAACCAAAATAAATCTAGACGATCAAATTAAGAATTGCTACATCGTTTCATATTCCAAATTATGACTTAATAGTTTGCTTCATGGAAAAGAAATCAATTTTTGAAGATAGGTAATCCTCATTGAAAAACGCAAAAAAGGTGACTTCGTGGAACGTCACGGAACAGCAGTTCACGATACAATTTTCTGTTGTACTCTGGAAAACGTCAGAATAAAATCTGAAAATGTTGTAGGAAGCATGAAATATCTCAAAAGCGGGTCATGCATGTGTGTGTAAATGGCCCAGGCGGTATTTGAATGATAGAGACTCTGTATCAGACGAGGACGATCTGTGAGAAAACCAATTATCTGTAAAGAATCAACCCAAAAACGTTCAGTTAGTAAGGTTTTGGAAAGAGAAAAGCGTTTCACGGTTTCTGGTCTTGTGAAAGCATAGTTAAGCGGTAAAAAAAAAGAAAACATTGACAATCAAAATTATGCAACTGGAAAAATTGTTAACAAAATGAATTTCAATTGATAGAGACACGTTTTAAATGAGCAGATACTGGACAAGACTGTATGAGAATATTTTGAGAACCTCATGATGTTATATTTTTGACGTTATAATGTTGTTTAGTTTGCTCCGGGGTTATCAAACATGTTGATTTTAAAATAAAGTAAATTGATTTCTATTACATCGAATGGAATGAAACTTCAACCATCAACAAAATAAATATTTTTACATATGATAATGTGCTTACATAAAGTTTCTTCAAAGTAGTATAACGAGGATGGACATTGTCCACGAACTTTTCGAACAACCATCATACTTCCCAACTTATATCCTTAAATTGAATTTTAATGACAAGCTTCAATTTAAAAAAAAAAACTCCTAATTTTAATTGATTCAGCCACAGTTCCAAAACTTCGGATCAGAGCCCTGGTATTGTACATTACATGTGGTACTTGCCTAAACTCAATTATGATTTACCAGGCATTTTATTTTAGTATTGCTTGCACATGCATTGTATTAAAAAATTAATTTATTTCAGATGACAAAGAAAGCCTTTATCAAAAATGAGAGGAATTGATATTATTTCGTGGGAAAGAATATAATTTCGTTGGAACTATTTTTTTTTTATTTCGTGGGAACGAAATTTAATTTTGTGAGAACGAATTTTATTTCGTGGGAACGAATTTAATATTATGGGAACGGATTTTAAATTCCATGCGAACGAATTTAATTTCTGGGAACAAATTTTTAATTTTGTGGGAATGAATTTTATTTCGTGCGAACGAATTATAAAAAAAAATATCTCAAGCATATGTCCTATAGCAGCCACCGGATATGGGTCTACTTTACTGAGTAATAAATCAAGTTGTATTTTCTTCCCATTCAATGTATTTTGATAGAATTATGGCAGTTTTAATTTTTAAGGGGAACCAGATTAAACTTGCCAGTAGGGGGCTAATTTTATGCAATAATTGATTAAATACTTTTCAAATGCATAGATCTTGGCCTCCATCTTTGGGAAAAAACCGTAGAATACTTACGGAAGCCTTTGTAGTTTTTTGGTTTGCAACTTTGTCAACTGACAAGAAAAAAATCTTTGTATCTTGTACTTTGATTGCAGGATTGGGCTACCCATAAATCGAAAGAAAAAATTAAGCACAGCTCTACGTATGTACAATTTCTAAAACGAGGTAAATTATTGACAAACAAGTTGATGAAACAAGAATATCAGCAGTCTCGTTTAAATTCATCATTTCGTAAGTTCTACGGTCGATACAATGACCTTTTCAGCAAATACAATTTATCATTGAGTCAAATGCTGACTGAAATTTTTGTACTAATCGTTAGGCCATTATTTACACACTGAATGGTCGACGGAATTTTCCGTTATTCCTGATCATGACAAGGAGCACACGGCGGGTGTGACCGGTCGGCAGGGGATGCTCAATCCTCCATGGTACCTGATCCCACTTCTGATGTTTTGGAGGTCCATGTTTGCTCTGCACCTATTTTGTAATGTTTAATGGACTTTTGAGCTTGAATACCGTTCGTTATCTCCATATATTTCATTAATCAGATCATGCCCAAATGCTTGGTAGCATAAAGAAGAAAAATGCTTCTTTCCTTTTTCACCTTTTGCCTGCCCCGTAAAAGGATACAATTTTTGCAAAGTGGAGATGGACTATACTCTCGGAATCTTTGTTGAAGTAGGATCTCTGTTTTTTATACAGTGCCCACTGTCCAATCCGACAACTGTGCAATCCGGCACACTGGACTTTCCGACCTGATATTTTATTCCCAAAAATTTCTTTATAATTTATATAGAATAAAACACTGTATATTCCGACCACTGCACATTCCGAATTCCGGCGATTTTTTGTCAACAGAAGTAGATAATTACTTTATGATTTACCCTGAGTAATCCGACATAATTACACTGGTGTACCGTAATTAGCCGCTGGCCAGGTAAC